AGAGAGAGAGAGAGAGAGAGAGAGAGAGAGAGAGAGAGAGAGAGAGAGTTTTGTTTCATTTGTTAATATGAGTGAGAGAGAGAGACAGAGAGTGAGAGAGAGAAAGAAAGAGAGATAGAGAGAGAGGAAGGGAGGGGGCTACCACACATACACACACTGTGGCATACTGTGTAGTCGAACGGGCCTGCAGGGCCCGTTCCGCATTCTCAGCCTAAAACCCTAAAAATAAGGGTTTACAGGCCCCATGTCGTTTCAGCCTGAAAACTGAAAACGAGGGCATGCAGGCCCTATTTCGTTTTCAGCCTATAACAAGGCCATTCAAGCCCTGAGTCTTTTCAACCTGAAACGGAGGGCCACTTTCGGACCCTCATAAATCGTCCTGCCTTAGAACTCGGGCAGCAAACCAGGGTTTTGGGAACATGCTATTTTTGGTTTGTTCCCCACGCGAGCCTCAGCAGGAGCTGCAGCGCCAGCCCCTGGCTTGACCTGGCATTAGCAAGAGCAACCTCCTAGACTGCCTCGCCCTACAGCCAGGAGGCATGCCGAGTAGAACATAGGGAGTTCCCATGCACTTCACGGGGAGGGAGTTGGACAGATGGCAGGAGACAGTCTTCAGGATTCGACAACAGCACTCTGGAGGAGCGCTGCAGGAGTAGCTTAGCGCTAGCAGTAGTCTTCAACGCTTGGCGCTAGTAGCTACATGAGTAGTTTTCAGCGCAGGGCGCTAAGTAGTGGTAGTGGTAGAAGTGTTGGAGAGAGATGGCTGGCGGAGGCCAGCGAGACTTACCTGTGGCGCCATAACTCCAGCTCCATCTTCGAGGTACCTGCATCAAGGCACCAGCTTCACAGATTAGTACCAGACAGAGAGAGAGAGAGAGTTCTTCTTCTTCCTCTTCTAAGTCCACCATCTCTTCTTCACCCTCTCCCTATCTGACTTCTCAGTATCTGTATACTACGAGAGAGAGAGAGAGAGTTGTGACTTGAGACTTGAAACTTGACGACATTGGATCCAGACTCGACATTGGGATTCAGACATTGGACGGGGATTATTTGATACCCGTATCACAGACTTGGTGTTGATGACATTCCCATCTTTCCCTCTTCTTCGTCTAACCCCTCTCCTCTTCGTCTGTGTATGGCGGGGACTGACACATTCTTCCTGTATGAGCGCCAGGCCCCTTCACACCATGGAACAATGATGATGTATGTTGGGGCTGCATTGCAATATTGATTGTTCGGATCATTGGTATCTAAGTCTTCCGCTACGCTATCTTGTACTTTGTGAGAGAGGTCGGTTCTTGTTCTGGTCTGCACCGTTATAGTATGCAACACGCACACAGACACACACACACACACACACACACACACACACACACACANAGAGAGAGAGAGAGAGAGAGAGAGAGAGAGAGAGAGAGAGAGAGAGAGAGAGAGAGAGAGAGAGAGAGAGAGAGGGAGGCTGAATGACAAAATTGAAATATGGGTCAAATTGCGACCGTGATCTATTTCACAGTTGAAATGATATTTTAAATTTTATTTAGATTTTTTCCTGGAAAGATCACAACAAAGTCTACGAGTACTCCAGTTTTCAGGTTTTTTCATGCATTCTTCTGAGCGCGAAAAGTCACTGAATTGGGAGTACTTTTTCAGTTGGCCCACACGTGGCTGAGTGGCAAAAATAAAAAATGTGCCGAATCGGGGCGACGATTATTTCGCGGTCTAAATGATTTTTTGAAAATGTTCAAATACTTTTCCTGGAAAGAATACGACCTCATCTATGGATTCTCAAAATTTCAGATTTTTTGGTGGGTTCCTCCGAACACATAAAATCGTCAAAGCGGCCTCTTGCAAAACGTCTGTTTCGATGCGCCTGACCTCCCTGTTTGAGAAGATGGGTCTCAACGCTTGGGCCTGAGGGCCCTTTTGCAGTTCGCAGCCCTAAGGCTGCGGTCTATTGGGGTTCGACATCTGTGTCAAGGTGTTGCATTTTTGGCGGCGGGCGACCAGGACGCAAAGTGGTTCTTAGGGGGCAAAAAAAAATGGGGAACCGGTCCTTGCCAAAATTGTGGACTACCTACAGCTAGCTCTGGTAGAATTGGGACTTTTGGAAAAAGGAGGGACCGGTCCTCGGGTGGAAGTGGGCCCCAAAAAGAAGTTGGAGGCGTTGGATGGGTCCACAGGTGGAAGTGGACCCCAAAACAAAGTGAGTGCATGTGAACTGCAAAAGAGCCCTCAGGCCCAGTGGTTGAGGCCTGTCTTCTCAAAATAGGGAGGTCAGGTGCAACCAAACAGACGTTTTGCAAGAGGCACCTTTGACGATTTTCTGTGCTCGGAGGAACCCGCAGAAAAATCTGAAATTTTGAGAATCCATAGATGAGGTTGTCTTCTTCCTAGGAAAAATATTGGAACATTTAAAAAATCATTTAGACCGAGAAGTAATTGTCTCGCCGATTCGGCACATTTTCCATTTTTGCCACTCAGCCATGTGTGGGCCAACTTAAAAAGTACTCCAAATTCAACGAGTTTTCACTCTCAGAAGAATGCGTGAAAAAAACCTGAAAATTGGAGTACTTGTAGATTTTGTTGTGATCTTTCTAGGAAAAACGCTAAATAAAAAAAAAAAAATCATTCCAACTGCGAAATAGATCGCGGCTGCAATTTGACCCATATTTCAATTTTGCCATTCAGCCTCTCTCTCTCTCTCTCTTGTAGTAGTAGTAGTAGTAGTAGTAGTAGTAGTAGTAGTCTCCCCCCCCCMCCCCTCTCTCTCTCTCTCTGGTAGCCCCCCTCCCTCCCTCTCTCTCTATCTCTCTTTCTTTCTCTCTCTCACTCTTT